CAGCAATGTTAGATGCCATAGCTGCGGCATCACTTGTGATGTACAAATTGTGGTCTCCATACAACACCCAGTCTGAGTTGGACATGCTACAACAAAAGGAAATGATAAGTTTATTCAAGTATTTGATGAGATCTTGTTCAAGTATTTAGGCAGTGAAAGATGCAGTGAAAAGCACGTACCCCACAGCGCAGTGGGCAGCGGTGACGACCCATTCATCAGAAATGATAGCTCCGCCACAGAAGTGGTACAGTCCACCACCGTTCACCAGGGACACCATCCACGGGTATTCATTCACTTCCGTCTCAACTCCGCCCACGATACGGGTGGCTCGGTTCACAAGCCCACAATCGGCTGTGGATATGGGATGGAATCACAATTGAATGGTGAATCTACATGTGAATGGGATTCAACATTTACGTCTGTGTGGAATTTTAACCTGTCACTTAAAACATGGTCACACTGTCACCAGATGTTTGCCCTGTTGCTTGAAATTGCAACCTGTGGTTGCCACACCCTAATTTTCGTCATTGCCACTCTTCTTCTTGATCTTTTGTTTTCTCGAATTATGGGAACCAAAAGTTGCTGGAATTAAAGTTCTGCAACCTATCAGAAACCAAAAACTTGTTGCGAATTTTGGATATATACTTGGAGCACTCACAGACCGCATATATCCGCCAAGGAAATAGGGTTACTGATACAATAAAAAGGTTCACACTTGAAGAACTACATTAGTTCACTCTGTAGTTAGTGTGACATGTTAGCGTCAGGTCAATGTGGCTGCCGACATGGCAGATATAGGGTAGCAGGGTGACCAAGGCTCAACTCGCTTTTATGGTAGATTCTCTTTAGAATGTAACACACAGGAAATAGGTCTTGACTTTACTACTATTCCTACTATTGCCCCACAAAGGCATCTCAAAGCATCCTTAAATGCTACATACGGCAGTCGGATGGAGGTGATGTCGGTGCAGGCGTTGGAGGAGGTGGAGGCGGCGGCGTAGGAGGTGGTGCGGGCGTTGTGTTGTCAGTGGAGCACAAACCAGTTGTTGATTCAGAAATCCAGCTCAAATATCCTGATAGAAAAGATGAAAACATCAGAAGGTATTTCTTAACTATAGCAATGTTCCTTGAAATGTTTCATATATTTCTATATTGGTTATTTCACACTATCTACTTGTGAAGTGATAATAAGGTAGGCAGATTACGTGTAACTCGGGCGTAGACTCCAGGCTTATTAGGTTGAGCACAGCCGTAACCCCACGACACAACTCCCACCAGTTTCCACTTGCCGTTTTCTTCTACTATCATCGGACCGCCAGAATCACCCTACTCAATAAAAACATGAAAAAGGAGTAAACAAACACACTTCTTAATAAGTAATGTCAGATGTAATGAATTATGAGGAATAGGTGAGGGTTTACCTGGCACGAATCTTTGCCTCCCTCAGGGATGCCAGCGCAGATCATATTGGCAGTTATCTGTCCACTATACTTGGTATCACAAACTGCGTTTGTCATGGTCGGTACAGTCACTTCGAAGAGCACGGCAGATGTGGATCCTCCTATTAAACAAAGCATTAACAGAGTTCAACACCTTGTGTTTGTATGTAAACATACGTGTACACAGCATGTCCCATACTCGTAGAGGTTTACATTCTCACAGGTTCCTGCTACTCACCCTGCTGTTGAGCTCCCCATCCTGTGATTGTTGCGTCAACATCAGCGTACATTTCACCGGCTGTTGGAAGGCACACAGGAGCAATGCGGTTTCCTGGAAACTCTATTGGATCAGCAAGTTTGCTATGTCGTTGTCAAGAGTATTACTGTCATAGCCAGGATGAACCTTGATCTGTAGAGAGAGTTATATATATATATATATATATATATATATATATATATATATATAATATATATATATAATATATATAATTATATGTATAATAAATGTTTAAAATAATTAGGGAAAATCTCAAATTACCTCAGCAATGTTAGATGCCATAGCTGCGGCATCACTTGTGATGTACAAATTGTGGTCTCCATACAACACCCAGTCTGAGTTGGACATGCTACAACAAAAGGAAATGATAAGTTTATTCAAGTATTTGATGTGATCTTGTATTAGGCAGTGAAAGATGCAATGAAAAGCACGTACCCACAGCGCAGTGGCAGCAGCGGTGACGACCCATTCATCAGAAATGATAGCTCCGCCACAGAAGTGGTACAGTTCAGCACCGTTCACCAGGGACACCATCCACGGGTATTCATTCACTTCCGTCTCAACTCCGCCCACGATACGGGTGGCTCGGTTCACAAGCCCACAATCGGCTGTGGATATGGGATGGAATCACAATTGAATGGTGAATCTACATGTGAATGGGATTCAACATTTACGTCTGTGTGGAATTTTAACCTGTCACTTAAAACATGGTCACACTGTCACCCGATGTTTGCCCAGTTGCTTGAAATTGCAACCTGTGGTTGCCACACCCTAATTTTCGTCA